TTTGATCTTTTAAATTTCATTAGTAAAACATTAAACAAAGTATATTGATATATAGCATATAATAAAATGTATTAACACATACATTAATAAGATACAACAATATAAATGCTAATCGGCCGCCTAGGCGACAAAAATGACAAGGCGTTTGGGTGAGGCACCCAATCAAGAGTGCCTAGTCACTTAGGCGATGCCTTGACAACTATGATATAAATACTAGAAGTACATGTAATATATTATATTATAAATAATAAATAATATATTATATATTACTTTTTTGGTAAGTAAAAACGAAAATTTCATTAAAATAAAAGAAAATTTCAAGATGAAGGTGATACATCACCCAATTACAACCATGACAGGAGTCCAAAACTCAGGACATATTTTCCAAATTACATATTTGAGCTTCTAGCACTTTCCCTAAATTTTCGCTCATATCCCTTTTATCATTATGACGGAATTCTAGATGAGCCAAAACCCAAACAACTGATTGCTAACAACCGCTACAAACCTGTTCATGCTATAGGATTTGGCATAAAAAATTCTTATATTCTTCTCTTTCACAAGATCCAAAAAATTCCTTACTAACTCCCTTCTTCTCCCTTATCTCAACCCTCTCATGTTCCATGTGATTAATTTCATTATCTGCCACCTCCTCTAGCCCTGCTCACCCAGCATGGCTATCACTCTTCATCTACCAAGCCCCCTTCCTCCCCCCACTCCCCCTTTTATTCGATAACCATTTTTTGAGCAAGTCCTCTCTTCTCTTCCTCTCAAAATGATCTATGGCTTTCCTAACAACCCTTTCTCCTCCAATAAAAAACAAACCCAATGTTTTACCCACTTCAACCTGTCTCTCCACCAGCCTCTCAATCTCCACCTTCCTTCTCTCCCCCTTTCATCCTTCCCTGTTGTGCTTCCTACTCCTTTTTCTCTTTACCACTCTCTGTAATCCCCCTCCTGCACCGTTCCTTCTTTAATTTTTGCACCCTTTTTCTTCTATTATAGACCCTACCCTTCTCTTCATTAGTCCTTTTTCTCTTCCCAGCTTTTTTTTTTCACCTCACACTCCAATTTTGACCCCTTAGAAGTTCCTTCATCAGTCGACTTTGCTTCACCCATAGTGGAGAACGAAGAGTGAACAAAACCAAATGGAGACGAAGCTAGAGACAAGGAAGTGTTTACTACACTTACCTCTCCACTGAGCTTGGTCTGAGGACAATCCTGGATGGCGCTTGCTTCCTCTGCAACTGATCCTTTTTCATTGGCTAGAGGGACGACACCCTCAATATATATTATAACATATATAGTATATATAATATATAATATATATAATACATATTATATATTACATACATAATATTATATATTATATATAATATATTATATACTATAAATGTATATTTATATATATAGTGCATATATATTCATTTATAGTATTATAGATAATATCAAATATATTTAAAATATATATGTCGGTTGCTTTGGTTAACCATTAGTTTTTCATATTGGTTAACAGAAACTGAAACCGAATCAATTGGTTTGGTTAATTAGGATTTTTGGTTCGGTTTAGATAAAGTTTAGACCTGCACTAGAATTTTTTTAGAATTAGAGGAAGATTAGAGGAGATAGAAGAGAAAAGAAGAAAAGAAAGGAGAAGGAGAAAACTGGTTTGAACAAGAGAGAAAAGTCACCGTCTCTAGTCGGCCAGGTTATATTTACATGTTTCTATTAAATAAAACAAGACTATTATGTACCTACATAAGTATGGGACACAACACTTAATATAAATGCTACACATCAGTTTAAACATAAATAGAAAGACCAAACTACGCCTATACATTCGACACTAACACTCCCCCTCAAGCTTGTGAGTATATATTAGATAGTCCTAGCTTGTTACATATGTAGTCCACTCTTCCCCGACTCAACCCTTTGGTGAACAAGTCTGCCCATTGACTTCCTGTATTAACATATGTAGTATCTATCACTCCACTAAGCACCTTCTCTCTCACAAGGTGATAGTCAACTTATATATGCTTTTTTCTCTCATGAAAC